AAATCATTTGTTATAAATTCTGATCCTGCCATCCATGGATATCATTGGCAGGTCTAATCGAGTAATCTACAATGATGCCGCCTGATCGCTGGGCTGGCCAGCCCCCCTCACATGAGTACTGTTCACCTGAACCAGCCAGTAATACTTCTCTCTCACATAAACGAATCAGCAACGATACAAATCAGCCAACCAAACAGGCTCACGAGGCCTATCATTGCTGGTTGGTTCCGGACCCGACAGTGACAACGAGATATCACTGCCAAGTCCAGCCCCCTTATTATTAATCAGTGCGGTAGTCATAGAGAGTAATGGACTGATAATGTATATATTACAATCAAATTACTTCGAATTAGAACGCTGGTGTCTGTATAATTATGGGTCCGCATATATATAAATGTTGAACTTTCCATCCTCTCTCACCACCTCGCCCACGATGAACCAGTCTTGTTGCTCTTGCATTTCTATGATCGACGGTAACTCTAAATCTAACAGAGATGGGTCGCTCTGGAAATAGCCCTCATTTTTAGAGGAGAACCTCGCCCATTTGTTAATTGATTTTAGAGGGTGAAAGTGTCTTTGTAAATAGTTGACCGTCTCTGAAAATGGTTAGATATTTTAGAGACTCGAGCATTTTTTGTCCGCCTCTAAAAATAAAAGGATAAAATGAGTTGTCTCCTGAAATCGTTTTTTATAGTAGTACATGCCGGCTGGGCGTGCGGTCCTCTCATAAGGTTGAAGGAGAGGAGAGAGAAGACTTTCTACTATTGACACATGGGTCCCACTAAAGTAAAGGGGATAAGTTTACACATTCTAGTCCAGCAATCTCCCCTATATAGTCTGAAACTATATTTTCTGAATGCCCTTTAAATAAGTCAATGAGTTTTCTCGGAGTTGCTCTAAGCTCCATCTCGTTTTCCACCAGGCAGGCCACAAGCCCACAAGGGCCATTTTGTACCCGTCGAAACAAGTCCAAAGTGGCATCTACGAACCAAACACCCCAAAACTGCGTGAGACGGGCGGGAGGGCAATATCCAAGGTACCAATCACGCCCTAATCCCCGGTCAGATAGACACAGCCATGCGGCAGCTCCTTCGTTTCAAGGCTGCGATCGCAGCAAATTGAAGTGTCCTTTATGTTGCTCATTAATTAATACGCAGCACGCAGCACACTGATCAGCGCGCGGCGCTCGGTTCTTCTCTAAAGGTTGGAGGAGATGATCGAACAGTAATAGCCAGGCCTTATCGACGAATAAAAAGACATACAGTACGGCAGTGGCTAAACTCTCTGTCCCGTCATGGCTTCATCCCCGCTTGCGGGAACCAAATTAGTGGCATCGAGTAGGAGATTAGTGTAAAACTTACCGTCGGCGAGGTTCCTGTATGCATATGCATGCCGAAGCAGAGTCGATAGGTGACGGTGCGTGCGTGCGTCGTTGGCAGCTGAGACTGAGAGTGAGAGCTCCTGGACCGAAAATGCGTCGTCCCAGCGCGGCGAACTACTGATCGAGCTGATCAGCTTCTACGTCTCTCTCTCAAAAAAAAAAAAAAAAAAAAAAAAGAGCTGATCAGCTTGTAGCGTGGTCTCGTGGTCGTGGCCTACAGGCCAAGCCAGCCAGCGAGGCAGCGAGAGCTACATTGACCTAGCTGTGGTCACTGGTCAGATACTCAGATTGGAGATAGGCTAGTTTCTCCATCATCCGGTTGGCAGAATGGCAGTCAGGTTTTCATAGGATGGATCTCTAGGGATGGCAACGGGCCGGATTCGGATCGGGTGGAGTCTTTGTGCATCTGAAACCGAAACCCGAAATCGAAACCCAAAACCGCACCGAATACCGATTCGGGTGATAATCCGTCCCCAAAACCGAACCCGTGGATACCCGAAACCCGAATGAATACCCGAAACCCGCTTTGTATGGCAACATAGTAAAAGAAATAAGGACTTTCTATAAACATATGCATGATATATATACACATATTCACATGTATAAACAAGAGACAACAAATAATAAATATTTTCATAAGTCAACTTAGAATAAATTTAATAATATAAGTAAACAAGTTATTATTAGCATATTATAAAACATGAGTTTAAATTCCAAATTATTTATTTCGGATATCCATTGGATATCCACGGGTGGAAAACCAAACCCGAAACTGAACTCGATTGGTTTCGGGGCCCCGAACCTGAAAACCGTAGGTGAGAAATCATCCTCAAACCCAAACCCGCAAGACCTAAAACCCGCGGATATCTGACCCGAAACTGCCCCGTTGCCATCTCTAGGATCTCGCAGCGGAACGGCAACAAATTCAGTGCAAGAGTGTAACCGCAAACTTTCTCTCGCCTCTCCTTGCTTCGTTGAGCAAAGCTAACCTTGCCAAGACGGAGAGCGATGCTGAGTGACCAGAACCGATCGAGATGGATGGGTTCCGAGTTCGACGGTCCCACCACAAACCTCAGGAAATTAGATCCGTCTAGCTTGCTTCAATGAAAAAGGCACGGACCGAGCACCGTACTGGCGTTCCTACGAAAGCAAATCGACGTGCTACAGGTGGCCATGTTTGCTTAAGCCAGACCGAAAAATACCGTTCATTTATTGTGAGAAAAAAACGCTGTTTCTTCGCTGAAAATGTACGGTTCATAAGATAAGCGAACAGCTTCCGTTTACCCGGCTGCACTATGGACTGAAAGAATCGATGGCCATTGGTAGATTGGTTCATCACCCTGTTTGTTTGATCGTTTCTATGGCTTATAAGTCGGCTGATGATATTTTGTTGTGAAAGAGAAAACACTGTCAGCCGGTTCGTTTGGCTGTAGCTTGTCGTAAACGATCGTAAATTTCCAGCTGAAACAGTATTTTTCTCTCACATAAACCAGCCAGCCGTACTTCTTTACGAACTAGCAACGAACCAGCTAACCAAACAGACCGTGTATCATGACTGATGAGCATGGCTGAAACGATCGCGCGAACAGGTGCATGCTTCTAGCTTCTCTGCTGCAACCCTATGCTCGTACAGCGGTTGAAACATTCACTGCTTGGCACTGTAGCACCGGTGGATGGGCTTGGGCAGCTCGAAACGTTGGGCCTGTCTGGTTGCTTTTCGACCGAGGGTGTTGTGTTGGTAGCAGAGGCGGGCCAGGTGCTCAAAAACAGAAGGAAAGATCAGAGGCGGGCCAGCCATTCAGACAAGTACAGTAATGCGTAACAATTTCGGCCTCCAAGAAACTGCAAAACAGATTGTAGTAGTACTTCTTATGGCCCAGATCGTTGTTCAGCTAGGCCCACCATGTAACACATTTTCTCGCTTTATTAATTGCCTTTTTCTGCTCCTATACACAAAACCATCTGCGACCTAGAACTGGTCACTGGACAAACACCTGCTGCCTGCTTGAGAGGCTGGAGCCGGTTCAATGGACGGCAAACATACCATGACATGACTTTTCTCAAGCAATGCTGCAACAGTACAATCTTCGTTTCGCCACGACGGAGCATTGCTCCACAGATACGATTTTTCTATTTTTAAAAAAATTCTCATCACTCCCGAACGGCCGAACCAAAATAACCTGGAAACAATCCTAGAGTATTTATATGTAGACATGCATGCAATCACTTAAAATTCCACGTCCCTTTCATCTTTTATTTATTTTTTTGGAAAGATTTTACGTTAAGTAGTCAATGAAATACCTTCATTTTTTTAATTCTTAAAGGAATTAGTCCATGGAGTGTTCGATTATCTGTCTGGCTGTGCCTGAAACCTCACAGCTGGCGTCCCCGGAAGTACTCTGGATTTGGTAGCAAAATATCACCCAAAAAAATGAATTTTGAATAAACACTAGAACACGCACTCATGAAAATAGGTCTCTGAATGCACATGAAGCCGCTTTGCCCGTGCTGACACATCAAGGTTCAGGCTGCCCGGTGACCACTCTGCCGCCGCCGCCTATAAATGAGCTTTCTCCCACGAACGCAAACAAGTTCAGGCCCCAGTGACCCCTCGCCCTCCACGGTCCACCCAGTTCCCCTTCCCGGCTAACGGACGCGCGATCCCGGCTAACGGACGCGCGATCCGGCTTCAATTCCTCGTCGTCGGCGACTGAGGAATGTCAGGGGCGGCATCCGTGGAGCGCGTGAAGGACCGCGCCACCGGCCTCGACAAGTTCGTGCTCCGCGAGGCCCGGGGCAGCTCCGTCGAGGTCAGGCAAATTCTCTGTTGTTGCTCGATTGCTCTTCTGAAAAAATCATCTGCTCTTTGCCCTCAATTGTTTCGGTCCCCCGCAAATTAATTTCGTTTCGTTGTATTCGAGAGCATTGCTAGCTAGGCTCGATCGCGGTAGGGTGTGTAATTAACTTGTGGTTTAACAGAGATTTATTACTTACTACTGGGGTTGGTAATGTTTGGTTTGGTCAAGGAACAGTGTTGTGAGTTGTGACCATGTAGTGGAAGGTAGGTTTGGTCATCACCTAGTGTTTGACCCTTCGTTTATCGATGGATCATTTCGTGCTTCATAAAGTATTATCCGTTGATTTGATCGTTCAGCGATGTGGTTGGTCTTGCGTGGGCTTCCGTGATGCTTTTGCTCAGCTGCAGTTTTGCCTGGAATTGCGTTAATGTATGTATATATGTGTTTTCTTTTCTGGTGGCATTTTTTTATTTGTTTATTTAGTCATCTTTTGTTTGTAGTCGTAGATACTTGGTCATGGTTGGACATTGTCCAAACAGTACTGAATGTTTTTAATTAAATAAGCAGAATTCTAGTTTCTGAATATGCACAAGGGACAGTCCTGGTATATTCTGGAGAAAATGAATGGGCCTGTGATCTCTTGTTTTTATTTGCCTCTGCTTTTTTATTAAGCTTCTGGAGACGGAATGTTCGCTTAAACTTATTAGCTGTCTTATCAGATAGAATCTACAGTATTTTTCTATCACAACAAATCAGCTTCAGTCGGCTTATCAGCCGACTTTAATACCAGCCAATCAGGCCCTTAATGAGATGCATATATATCATATATATTGGACATGGACGTGACACTCGTGACATGTCACATTGGTGTCGATATCTCCTCCTATCAAAATCATCGCAGTGCAGGCCATAATGGCTAACGCGGCATGGGCCCTTATCTTCCTCCTTATTTGTTCCTTCTCCTCCTCCTTTTTTAGGTCAAGCGTGTATCTGAATCGTCGAGAAGCATTGAGGACAAGAGCAGCTTGCTGCCAAAGGGGGAAAAAATAAGAAAGTGTAAAAATTAGTGAACAGATAAAAACAGTTAAGACTGATGTGCAGCAGCAATAGTTGAAGTAATTATTGGAAATTTCAGAACAAGCATGTCCTAAGCACAGGAAACCATGCATGAACTAGTTAAGATTTTTGTTTCCCTCAATTGTTGTTTGTTAAAAATAAGAAGGTACACCCTCTTCTCTTAAAGACAAGGGCGTTTCAATGTGTTCTTTGTTATTAGAATCTGGGCGGTCCAGCTATTTCACAATCAATCTAAATTGGCCATATGCCCAAAGCAAATGATATTGCTATAACATAGTTTTGTAATATTATAATTTTACCAACTGTCACTAACATATACTCCCTCCATCCCAAATTATAAGTCATTTCAAAAATCTTGGAGAGTCAAAACATCTCAAGTTTGACCAAATTTATATGATAAGATAATAACATTTATGATACCAACTAAGTATCATTAGGTTCTTCATTAATTATATTTTTATAGTATATCTACTTAATGTCATAAATCTTTATAATTCTTTCTATAATTTTGGTTAAACTTGAGATGCTTTGACTATCAAGATTCTTAGAATGACTGATAATTTGGGATGGAGGGAGTAGTCATTACAGTAGCTGTCAATGTCATATCTCGGAGAGCGTGAAAGTCATTAACATCAAACAAAAGGAATGGAGAGTGATTTACTGTTAGTCAGCCACAGTACCACATTCACATTGGTTGAACTATGCGGCAACATGGTGGATTTGAAGCACTAGAATTCAGGCCAAGGACATTACAGCAATTTTCTTCATGGATGAACACCATAAATACCATATGCTTCATCCACAGAGAAAGCTCCATTTCTTGAGAAAGAATGCTAATGTCAATTTGGCAAGCCCTGTTGTATGGGTGGACTTCTATCAAGCTCACAAAGCATAAAATATGTTAACAAATGAAATCAACTAGCTAACCCTGGAGTTATTTCAGCTCTTCAAGGCAATTCAATCATTTGTTTTAGAAACTAGTACAGTAAATTGCATTTTTCTTTCAATGGAGGACGTATTAGAGATGGTGAATGGTCATAGGTGGATTTTGTTGTGTAAACTGTCAACTCCTACAGTTTCTTATTGTATTCAATCTAAAGATATGTGAGATAGTTTTGTTGTGTCATCTCCTATGATTGCTCTGCCCCAGATTGTATCCATTCTAAAACTTTCGATTTTTATCTGAGTGAAATGCACTGGGGTCCTTAAACTTTTTCTAGATTCCCACTTAGGTCCATAAACTCTTTATGTATCAAAAAGAAAATTAAGGACCCAGAGCCTGAGTCTATGGAACTAGATGAGAATTTGGGAAAAGTTAAGGACCGTGGTGCATTTTACTCTTTATCTTAGTATTAACCAGAAGCAATGCTGTATTTACTTCAGGTATCAAGTCCACCCAATAGACTAATCCAATATACAAATAAAAAGGGTGTCACCAAATTATGACTTAATAATCCTTGCTATTAGTTCACAACCAAAGGGCTAAGGAGGCATTGGGATGCTATGAGGGCTGTGGAATTTTAAGTATCTCATTAGGAAACAAAAGCAACAGTGTGGCATCCGGCAATACCCAAAGAAAGCCAAATTTTAGACTTACCAGTGCTAGTTCATCTCACTAAATTTTCTTTTGGGTAATCACAAAATAAGATTTGGGTTGGGTGATGAAGTGAATTGGAATGAGCAGTCAAGGTTTACAACATTCAGTGGTACTAACAATAATGTCCTAAACTAAATACCTCAATGTATGCTTCGCTAAATCAGACATCAACACATACATTAATAATTATAATCTAATTCTAATAATAGCCAAAATTCCGCATCAGACCAACACTTATATTTAGTAATGCGGACAAAACTAAACCACATTACCCAGAATTACAGAAAGCGGCTACAACAAAGCAGGCACTCAAGTCAGCGTAGCAGAAGGTAGAGGGCACAGCACAGCGAATTCAAAATAGTGGCCGGGACTCGGGGTCAGGTACTCACCCTCCAGCGCCGCAGCCGCTCGACGGGGGCGCGCTTGGCGGGGATGTCGAACGGGTCGGCGTCGGGACCACGCACGTCGATGCCGAGCACGTCGGCGCAGTCGTCGTCGTCGATCTCGTCGCGGCGACGCTGCCCCCCGGCCATCGCCGCGCCGCTTGCTCAGGAGAGATGACACCGCACCCCTCCCCGATCTGCAGCCACATTCCGCGCAAGCACATCAGTCAGCAAACCTCGAATTCCGAGAACCCCACTAACGAGCGGGAGCGCCCGCGCGCGTGCGGTGACAGCTACAGCGCTCCGGCGACGCAGCGGGTCGCCGTGGCGGGAAGGCGAGGGGACGGGAGGGAAGGTGGTGTAGTGGGGGAGAACCGGAGAAGGCGTGCGGCGGAGGAAACGAAGCGGGCGGGGGTCCAAATGGGGCGCTTGTCTCGCTCGCTTTCCCGTTTCCGCGTTGCTTCCTCGCTCGTTCCCCTGCTTTTTTCGCGCTTCACGCTCCCGGATCCTCGCTTCCTCTTTTCCTTTTGCTGCTGCTGCGCTTTAAACGCGCTCGAGGTCGCGGCGGGGGCGAGGTTTGGGTGACGGATCGGTTTCTTTCGAGAGTGTTTCGGCGGGCGCGGGCGCCGGGAGAGAGAAGACGAGACGAGAAAGGAAGCCGGCGAGGGAGACGGGGCCCGCCGGCCCACCCGCACAGGAACCACGCCGCTGGCGCTGGCTCTTGGGGGAAGGGTGGCGACTAGACTTTTGGTGGGAGACGCTTGAGGAGACCGGTCGCGGTCAGCAGGCTATTTTTTCTCGAGACTTTTTTTTTCTCCGCAGCAAATTAATCGTTAGCTTAAGTTTGAATGTCGAAAACCAACTTAAGTTCAAATATATTATTAATTTTTTGAGATATCTTAGCGACATCATTAGATTTGAAAAAAATATATTAATCATATCAAATCATATTTTTTATGGAATTAAATGAAAATAATTTTTATATAAAATTATAGATCTCATTTAATTTAGATAAAAAAATATGATTTTTGAGTTTTTATATTTGAAGAAAAAGATGCTTTCTAAAAAAAATTAATAACATATTTGAACTTAAGGGCATCGCCTTTTCACATTCATAATTAGAGCCTCGAATCGACGGAAGTGGCATGGAGGACCAAAAGTTGAAGTAGTGGTACCAAGAATTTAAAAGGCACAGAGGAAATTACGATCTTTTATAATGGCACAGAGAAAAAAATCTCATTTTTCTCCCGCAACAAATTAATTGAACTTATCAACCTAGAAACTAACCCAACAAACAGACCATCGTAGTTTTTTCTCTCACAACAAAACAACATCAAGCTTATAAGCTACGATCACGTGAACGGGGTGGCAACCGAACCTCTAATGCGGGGAGGCCTAGCGTGGAGTATGTGTTGACTCGTGCATGGTGCGGCGTGGAACGGAGGTTGCTATCGTGCGCGGCGTGGACGGAGGCCATTGGGCGGTTTGTGCATGTCACGCCTCTTGCATGGCTTGGCTTGACGGTGATATAAAGGCCATGCATGTATTTGTCTTTTGCCAGGCTGATAGTCCCCATTTTTTTATAAAAAAAAGAAAGAAAAAGAAACAGTTGCCCTTTTTCTTTTCATATCTGATTGCATCTTGTAGCTAACCAATGCAGACCGTGCTTTTCCGGTTGTCGTTATGCTGTTTTAAGTATTTTGTGTAATTGCTAAGAGAGCTACTGATTGGATTAAGAAAATAGATGGGATGACAGTGACCTCTAACGGGTCTGAGTAATCGTGCAAGTGATGATATTGCTTCCTTTTAAGTTGAGTGGCCAATGGAGTAAACAAAAAATGCATTTATAAATTCACTTGTCTGATTTTTTTTGTTGTCCAAGTGATGATATTGCTTCCTTTTAAGCTGGTAATTTATATATATAAACAATAAGTTTCAACCAAAGAAACAGCCTTTGATATTTTTATTTTATTTTATTTATTTATTTATTTAAAAAACATCAACTCCATCCAGGCCACTATGGAGTCGACCCTACGCATATTTTATCTTCCTATAGACAACTTTATGTTTAGGATTGGACCATAATTTAAAACTTATCGTATTTTATTTTCCATGCCTTCTCCATTTGTTTGTGACATTTTTTACTAAAACTCTGCAATGGTTTTGGTCTAAATCTAATTTTATGCCCCTTGTAAAAAAGTTGGAGTCATAACTCTTTCTACACTATATATTATTAAAAAAACAAAACAAAGCCCAAAACAGTGCAGGCATCACGTGCCCCCAGGTTCCTCCCGCTTAAGAAAATGAAGTAGACATAATATATAGTATATATTTGCAAATAAAATACTGGGTTTCAGATGTACTACACTGCTAAAAAGCCATGACTGAAAGTACTATTCGCTGATTTGTCGTGAGAGAAAAACACTGTTGTTCGCTGAAATAGTACGAACATGGCATATTCCAGTCTGACCAGCAATACATGTACTTGCCCTGCAAACTACCTGGGCAATCAACCATAGCATACCAGCGTTCATCGTGCTTCGACGAGGAGACGCAGCGAACCGGCGGCCAGCGAGAAAACTTACGCAAGTGAATACTTTAATCGAAGAGTGGTGCATAGAAAGACTCACAGCACAAGGCTGGGGAGAGACCATCAACAGTCAAGTGATGATATATACTAACCTTGAGTCCTTGACTGTCAAAGGCTCAAAGATAGCGCGTAATGGAGTTTTTTTTTATGGAAGCGCGAATCTTGAAGCTTACAAAATACTATCACAGAGCGGAATAATTTAAAAAGAATATTTTCCCCAAAGAAAAATCTGGAGGATGGCTTGAGTTGTTTTTAAAATGTTCTGATTATTTGTGTTACAAACCAGCGTAGCTGCAACTTTTTGCTTATTGAAAGTTACTAAAACGTTGATTAATGAATACGTAGTAGGATATTTATTTACCATTTTTAAGGAACATAGGAACACTTAATCTTTCACTAATATGTGGACCTTCTCTTAATCTAAACAAAATCGTGGGCTTTGTTTTTCTTTTTTGTCGTTGAAGGTTACTCAAACGTTTGTTAATACTAGGATATTTATTCTGTTTTTATTACTCAAACGTTGTTCGTTACTCAAAATGTTCTGATTAGTGGAAGTCTATTCATATGTTCAGTAATAATCTAAACAAACTCGGCCCAACTCTAGCCCACAGAGCTTAGCCGTAGTGTCTTCCTGTTGGCCCGGCTACAGTTTTGGACCAAATCTGGCCAGCGGGTCTGAGAAAAGTCAGTCCCACCCCACCCAACCACCCTCAAAATGATCCTAAAACAAACACGTCAAAATCGTATTATATCTGTCATATGAACACGGACTGCTATTTTCAAATACGAACAACGCCCAGTCAAAGAGTATTACGAAAACACAAGTCTGTTTACTTTTACTGTGCAAAATAGTCGGAAATGCCAAGCTGACCCCAGTACGTGTCGATTCGCGATTGGATTTGCTGCGTCGTCTAAAGAAGGAACCTATGAGGCATCAGCAATGGATGCCTAATCCTCTGGGTCAAGCAAGAATCCCTGATGCATAAAGGCGAACTACAAAGCGAAAGCAGAACTGAAAAAGAAAAGCGAAGAAACGAATCAAAGCCGCCGGCTGCTACTGGGTCTGCACGCGCGACGCGAGCACGGTGCCGCCGGCGGTCGGCCGGGAATGGAACAGTTGTTACATACCTCGGCTAGCTAGCTAGACAGCTGCTGCCGTCGCGGCGGCTCCGGAGGATGGAGAAGAAACTGCCTGCTAGCTGCTCTTCTCGTCGGAGTAGCACGCTAGTTTGCACGGCCGGCCGGGGACGACGGCCGCCGGACAACAGAAGGCAGCTTAGCTTGTTTTGCCGGAAGCCAGCCCTCTCGTGTGGATTTTGGTTAGTGTGTGAGTACTACGACTGGTCTTGCGCTCTTGCTACTAGAGTTATAAGGGTGGAACAGGAGCTTGCTTGACGAGGGGAACAAAGAAGCGCCATGGTGGCCGCTCTCTGCTGGCGCTATGCCACCTTAATTTACTCCTTTTGTCGTCGTCTCTAGTAGGTGCAGTGGCTTTTAGACATTCGTGATCCGCCCTGGACGCTTGTTGTGGCCTCATTTTATAGAGACACGGCGAGATATCAGATGTGGCATGTTGTTACAGGGCTGGGTATTCGTTCGTTACCGGTGTTACAGGGCTGGGTATTCGTTCGTTACCGGTGCTATAGGGTTGTCTTCAGTCTACATCAGCGTGGCACGGTGTTGCATTCACTAAGCAGAAAACGATTTGTAGCAACGGTTCAATTTTTTTTTTGTAGGAGCGGCTGGTGATGGAGCCGTCCCCTACAGATGGCGTCTTTCGGGTGCCTGGACACCAGCCGCCCTACAAATGGAACGAAGAGGCGGTTGGTGATCTGAGCCGCCGCCCTACAAATGGAGTATGATTTTTAGGCGGCTCAATCACCAACCCGCATTTAGAAATGGTATTTGTAGAGGCGGTGGTGATTGAGCCGCCTAAAAATGGCCCGTGATTATAGCTTCTATTTGTAGGGCGGCGGCTCAATCACCACCGCCTACAAATGACCCCATATAAAACTGAAGCAGCACCTTCTTCCTCCTCGGGTCATTCACTCCGACCCGTGAAAGAAAGTTGGGGAGGGCTTGGGCACCTCTCAAAAATTGCTCTACTAAGGGGAGAAGGTTTTGGTCTCAAATCCTTTGGTGGAGAGGTTGTAGAAGGTAAGAAAATGCTATTCCACACTTTTTTTGAAGTTTTAATGGTTGATTAGTGAATAATTAGAGTTTTATTTTTCTCTCTCTTCTATGGTGCTTGAGCTATTTATGAGCAAATTAGACCCAACTTTTAAATGTACTAGGGTAAATTAGGGAGGGGAACAAGATCATACCCTTATTTGGTCCATGTTTCTTGATTTTAGTGAACCATTAGTTAGTTTTATGGATGTTTCATGTGCATGTGATCTAGATCTAGGGTTTGGTTTTTTTATTAATTTCGTTTTTGTAAATTTATGTTTGATAAAATTGGACTAGGGTTTGTACGAAAGATATTGTGTAAAGTATAATTATTGCTAATTGTTGTCTTTGAAATTGTTTATTGTAATCAATAAATATGTATTTTAATTAT